TAAAAAACAAAAGTCCTGTTTTGGGGTTTAGGATTTCGCTTTTTTTATTTGGAACTTGCAATCATTAGACTTCATTTCGATGGATGATATGGAGTGGGTACTTGTTGTGATGTCTGGAAAGAGTCAATTGTCTGGCCTTTGTTTCTGACCTGTCTCATCTCTCAGCTATGCAGCTTTACAGCTCACTTTTTTTTTTCTTTTTTGTATGTAGGGTTTCTACATCTAGAAATTCAGTTCCAATGATCTATTTGCCCAAACTTTGAGCAATGCTTATTTTTTGGACATCACTTTCTAATTGTCTTTTCCCCCCGATATTTGTTGTCATTTCTTTCAACATTGTTTTGGTTGTTTTTAATCTTTTTTTTTTTTTTTGCCAGTCCTGGGGCTTGAACTCAGGGACTGGGCACTGTCCCTGAGCCTCTGTGCTCAAGGCTAGTGCTCTACCACTTGAGCCACAATGACACTTCTGGCCTTTTCTGTTTGTGTGGTACTGAGGAATTGAACTCAGGGCTTCATGCATGCTAGTCAAGCACTCTACCACTAAGCCACATTCCCAGCTCGTTTTCAGCCTTTAAACCCTCCTTGTAAATTATGTTTATCAAGTTCTGTAAGGACACTATGGAAAGATTGGCTGGAATTATACTGAATTTATATAATATTCTAGGTAGAGCTAATGTTTTCAGAACTTTTAATTTCTTCCGTATAAAACAGAGCTTTCATAGGTGTGCTTGTTATATATTTCTGTCAAGTTTTATGACTTCATGTTAGTCATATATATCTTTCATTAGATATACTACAGATAATTAACATTTACATTACCCTAAATAGCTTTTTTGTTGGGGAAAACACTTAGAAATCTGAATTCAGTAATTAGTAACAACACATTGTTACCAAGTATGGTCATCATATCCTACAGTAGAGCTACTGAACTTGTGTCTCCTGTCTTTTGGTATACTCTAACCAACATCTCCTGCTCTGAGCCACACCCCCAGCCCCTTAATACCCAGGATTCCACTCTTTGCGTCCAAGTTCAACTCTTTAAGATTCTCGTGGGGCTTGAACTCTGGGCCTGGGTGCTGTCCCTGAGCTCTTCAGCTCAAGGCTAGCACTCTACCACTTGTGGCTCCATATCTTGACTACTGTGCACAGTACTTCAATAAACATGGGAGTGCCTTTGTCTCCCCCCGCCTCCCTGGGGTGCACATCCAGCAGGGGCATTGCTGGATCATATATTAGGTTTCCATGAGAAGTCTCTATACTGTTTTCCATAATTAACCTACAGTCCCACGAACAGCATGCAAGGGCTCTCTTTTCTCCACAGGAGTGGTATCTTCTTACAATTATATTTTAATTGGTTATTATTAGCTTGGTTTATGTGTGCTGATCCATTTTCAGGGGTCTTCCAGACTGAGTGTGACCCAAGGGGCACTTGATATTGTTGGGAATTGTGGGTGGAGAACTACCTTCAGGGATGTCATCGGCACATTCAGACCCATGGTTACCCGGATGCAAACACACACGCCTTTAAAACATAATTATAATTATTTTGTTTTTCTGGCCCCTAAGATTACAATAAACTTTTTGTCCAGCTAAGTATTTGGGATGAGTTGAGGGCAGGTCAGAATAGGGCAGTGTTGTTCTTCTCAGTATAGTAGAGATAACAGAGTTTAATCACCTCTCATTTCTGGGGCTTGTGATACTGCCTTGGAGAAGGAGCATTGGGTTGGCTGTTGGCCTAGACACCTGGCTTCCAAACCGCCTCACCATGGTCTCCTTTCGAGAACAGCTGGTTCTTGTGGGGTGACTGATCACATCCTAATATTCCCTCAGGTTGCAAGACACCAACTATTTACCTTCCATCAGAAAGTCCAAGTTGCAGTCTTTGCAGTTCTTGTGTGCTTATTTTTGTTCTGATTGAGAAAGTTTTATTCTCCTACTGGAAACTAACTGCTTGGAAAGCGGTGCGTAAATACACATTATGTCCTTGTAAAGAGAACACGGAGAGCCGCAGGAGATGCAGTGTCGGGAATCAGAGGACTTGCTTTGGGTTTGGGTACTGTCACTTAAGATATGTCACTTGGACATGATTTTTGTGAAGTCACTCAGGCTTCCAGTTTTTAAATAGTTGTAAGCATTGGGAGGAATGATAAGGAATGTATGAGACTGTGTGACCCAGGGTGGCCAGGCTATAAGGGCTCCTCTTTTGTCCATCGAGTGGTTAAAATGATCCCAACCACACACTGCTTGCTACTTCTATGAAAACCTTCCTTTCCATATTAGTGAAGTGGAGACAGTAGGAGAACTTTTCTTGCTGTCACTCTTCGGGTTAGTGTATGGAATGCACTTAGCTCACAAAAACCACTCAATAAATATTTGTTGCTGTTGTATGTCTGAGTGAAAAAACACAGTGGGAGCAGACAGGCAGAGGTGGGAATGACAAACAGCAGCTCAAAGGACTCAAGGGCCTGGCATGTAACCTGGCTGATGATTCATGTCATGACCACAGGTGTGCTCCAGGGATGGCAAGTGAGTAGTGGTAAGGATGCAGGTTAGATGGAAAGTTCAGCAAGACATGGGGACATTGGCTATATGTGCAACCAAGCAACAGGCAATAAAGTATATCCTCAAGCTAAATGCTCCTCAAGATGACGATGGAAACTATAAATCAGCCGGGCACCTATAATCCTGAGCATCATGGTTTAAAGCCAGCCTAGGTAGGAAAGTCTGTGAGACTTATCTCCAACTAACTACCAAAAAGCTAGAAATCGAGATGTGGCTCAAGTGGTAGAAGCCTAGACTTGAGGACTTGGCCCTGAGTTCAAGCTCCAGGACTATCAGAAAACAAAGTGAGAGTCATGGGATTAGTTGATGGGGCATGGTGTGATGCCAAGTACTGGAGGATGTCCATTTCCGACAGCTTAGAGCTTATCTAGATACTCGCTGGAAGTCTGAGGAGCTCCAGGGATGAAGGGACAGATGTCCAAAAGAGGACTCAGGGAGGACAAGATGCTACTTCTGTTTATTGGATGCCTGATAGGTGGAAGAATCCATGATCCCCCCATATCCCCAAAAGTAGATCTGGAAGTCACAGGAAGTAAGCCTCTCCATCTTCATACGTGAAAGGACTCCTAAAGCCTTAGACCAGTCAAAAAAATCTATAGACCAAGTTCCTACTTCCCCTTGCAGTGGTTGGAAGTAAGAGAAGGGGATGTGGCCCAGAACTGGGAGTAGATGGACATCCAAAGGCAACTGATCCTTGTACCATGTGTCCTCTGACTTCAGGGGAGCAGTGAACCGAAATCCTTCTCTTTGTATTAAATAGTTACGAATTGGTTTCTCTGAGGGGACTCAAGACGAACCCCTGGGGACTGTTAAATTGTCTGCAGACTTTCATTCTTAATCTTGAGCTCTGCCTTTTTCATCTCATGTGTGAAGAAACATGATGGCTGGTTAGGATCTTCTTGATAAGGAAACTCCACAGTCATAGTCGCCGTTTCCTACAATTGGGGTGTGAAAAGTATTCTTATACCTTGTGTTCTCCTGTCCTTAGATAATACTTAGAGCTTCATATTCAGCTTTCCTTATAGTTATATCATATAACCTCTTCCTTGCCTAATTTATAAGTTAAACTTTTTAATAGGCATGTATGAAAAACACAGTACATGTAGAATTTGGGAACAGCTCATGGTTTCAGACATCCACTTCAGATCTTGGTGTATATCCTGCAGATAAGTGTGAAGACCTAAGATTGTTGCTCTTCTTCAACAGGGTGGCTAATTTGACATATAAAGAGCAATCATCTAATGATTCCTATAGGCCCAAACTACCACAGTAGCTTTTCAAACTACATATAGTCATGTGCTACCTTATTTCATAGCCAAACTTGTATGTGACTCCTCCATCTTTCCCAAGAACTCTACTTCAGGTTTTTTTCTTTAATTTTTAACTCTACACTTTTAAAAACTTGAATAATAAACCTTGGAATCATGTTTGTTATGCATGCATCTCATGTTGTGGCTGTATGGTAGTCTACTGAATGGATATGCCATCACGTAGGCAAGCTTTTCTGAATACGGATTCCATTCTCCAAATGCCCTTTACCAGAGTGTTCATTGTTGTACTTCCTTGGGCAACTGCTCACAGATTCTTACTATAAGCACGAAGCAGTGAGTTTGGAAGCCTTGGCTCTCCAGGATACTGCAGTCTCATTAGGGACCAAAGACATAGGGGCATGGAGGGCATGACTGCCAAATCTATTCTTTTATGGTTTTCCTTTAGTTTCTTCACCATCAGACAGACTTGCTAAATACAAGCTACAAATGGCCTCTCCACTAACTAACTGGATTTATATACAAGTGTCTAGCTGGGTGCCAGTAGCTCAGACCTGTAATCCTAGCAACTCAGGAAACTGATATCTGAGGATCAAGGTTCAAAAACTAGCCCAGGCAGGAAAGTCCATGAGACCCTTATCTTCAATTAACCACCAAAAAGCTAGATGTGGAGTTGTGGCTGAAGTGGTAGGCAATCCAAGTGGGAAGGCCTAGCTCTGTTTACAGGGAGAAGCCAACAGCTAATCCCGTCTAGAGGATAATTTCCCTGGAAGCTACCAGAGCTTCTGATTAATTTGAAGGGACCAATGGATCAAGAGGACATAGGGTCTTTCTGAATTATTTCTTACAATCTCACATCGATCTATAATGATCTCAAAGAGTGTAGTTCTTAATCCTGAAACCTAAATCATTGTGTGAACATAGCTGATTTTAAAAGTCTTAGGCAAGACTTTCACATTGTGCAATCCCAGCAAAACATATCCAACGTTAGACGTAGCCTTGGGTCTGCCATTTCGCTATCTGTGAATAGCTGGAATATCAAATTTTGATATGGATAATAAAGTCATGGAAACCCATGCCATGCATCTGCTTAAAGAGTACTTGGTACTGTGAATATCTGTTGTTTTTGACAGTGGCCATCCCATTTAGGTAAGCTTTCCTCCCTTCCAGGTCCTCGGATGTGGCTGTATTGCCCAAGCTGTCCTCAGCCGAGGTGTCTTGGGAGGAATCGTCACTATCAATGTGGGATTTGCTATGGCAGTCGTCACGGCCATTTATGTGACTGGAGGTGTCTCAGGTAAGCAGTGGATGAATACAGTAGTAGTATTCATCCACTCAACAATTCCCAATCTGCGGCACAGTGCTGAGTACGTTTACCTTCATTGATACCTATCTCTGTAATCCAGAAAGAGAACATATTTGATCCCTTTTTCACAACTGATTAAGTTAAAATGGCCAACAATTGCTAAATGATAGTATATGAAGCCAGCACTTAGCAAGAGACAAGAGATAGAACTGAAAACCCACAATTGATCCATTCCTAAGCCTAACCACTATGTCAGTGTCTTTAGGAGTCAACGTGGTCTTTAACGCACTCTATCTTACACTTGTAAAGCCTCTTCCCAGAAACCTTGTAAATAGCTTGCAAAGGTTATGCAAACAGACGCAAATTCCGGGACCTTTATTGCCCAGCCCAGAGAATCCAGAATCTTGTAAAATGGAAGTGCACATCTAATCTAGAAAGTCTTCATCAAATGCTTCCCTGAGGGGGAGGTAGGTTGAGCAAGAGCTTTCTGTAAGGTTCTGAGAAGCAAAATGAAATGCTGATATTGAACGCAGCCCAGAAACCTAAGAAGAGACTGTAGAAGGAGCTTTGAATCCTTCAGCAGCCCGATATGGGTACGGAGTCCTGAGACTATTGGTGACAGGGGAAGAAAGGGAACCGAGAAACCAATGCTGACTGGCCCCTGAGCTGGGTCCTGGACATCCTTCATCTCCCTTCTCCTTCACAATAACACTCTGAGGCAGGTATTATTGTCTTCACTCAACAGAAGAAAAAAATACTGGGGCTGAGAGATGGGTAAATTGCTCCAGTCCTGCAGGGTGGGGAGAGGGGTAAAGAAATGGAGCAAAGATTTGACCCAGGTCAGCATGATGATAAAGCTCACATTCTTACATAACTTCCCAATGGTCTATTGTGGTTTAAAGGGTCCAGACAGAGGACCGTGCAGGTGAGCTGGCTACCTTGGTCTGTGCGATGATTGTGTGGACTCACTGGAGCCTCCCAAAGCATGATACCTCAGATGCTCTTTTTTTTTTCTGGCTGACTTCCTCAGTCAGACTCAAGTGTGATGGTCCAGTAAGACCTTGCTGTGTTTGCTCTTGGTTTGGCATGAGCAGTGTCTCCACATAAGCCCTTGTTGAGTTTTGTTCTGAAACAAAATCCAACACAATAGCACACTTGAGGTAGGGCACATGAATAACCCAGGGATCTTTTCTGAATATACCAAGGCTAGATTGGAGTATGGGCCTTGGACATAAAACACATTCTTGGTTGAAAACTTAGCATGCAGGGGGCTCACAGCTCTCTCTCCTACAAGCTCAGGTAAGGGTGGTTTCTTACCAACTGTGCAGGGTGGAGAATGGGCATATTTCCATTGATTGTGATTTATGAGTTTGGAGTATTTTACCTGAATGACAATCTGAACTGAACCCTGTCATGTAATTAGCTAAGATTAATTGGTACCAGACTCTGCAATGCCATTACCATTTTTCGCCTATATACCTGTGTTCATTGACTGATGTACTTAAGGATGAAGGAGTTATCACGGGAGGAAAAGTGAAAAGTGTAGGGATGTGGTGGGAAGGGTTAAGAGGGAGTGAGACAATGACATGGAGCCTTCTCACCCATGACTGAACTGGAATTTAAATTCAGGGATAGAGGGATGAGGGCCAGAAAGGAGGAAACTGTTCACCACAGGTTGCATTTCTAGGTGAGAGTTAGGGCCTAATCAAATTGTTTAGGAGACTGAGACCCCAAATAGAAACAGAGCAGTGTCTGAGGTCGGCTGAAAAATATAGCAATGAGTTGGAATGGGAGCACCTGTCACCCTGTTTCTGTTTGAAACCTACCACACGTGTGTGTGTGTGTGTGTGTGTGTGTGTGCGTGTGTGTGTGTGTGTGCGTGCGTGCGTGCGTGCGTGCGTGCGTGCGTGCGTGCGCGCGCGCGCGCGCGCCCTGGGGCTTGAACTCAGGGGCTGGGTGTTGTCCCTAAGCTTTTTTCTCTCTCTCTCAAGGTTAGCACTCTTTGTACTTTTGGTACTTAATTGGCGATAAGAGCATTCATGGTCTTTCTTGTCCCGGCTGGCTTCTAAGGATCCTTAGATCTCAGCCTCCTGAGTGGCAAGGATTACAGGCATGAGCCTCCCACACCTGGCCTTAGAGACCAGTAGCTTGGAAATACGTAGCGGCCACAGAGACAACCAATACACCAGGCAGAAACAGAAATGTGATTCATTTTGACTGGGAAAGTCAACTGATATTTCCTCTCTCTCTCTCTCTCTCTCTCTCTCTCTCTGTTAAACTACATTAACTGTAGAAAGGGAATTTATTGGGATATTTACATGAATGGATATATAAATATCTTTGGTTCTTTTGATAGTACTGGGATTTCATATAATCAGGTGGAGAGCACCAATGAATCTTGGTGCTCACTACTGTAGTTCTATGTGTGTTATCAAAGTGAAAATTCTTAACATAGCTATTTCTAAAGCACTGGGTTATGAAATAGAAGATATCCCCTTACTGTAAAGAAGCTCAGCCATCCTGGTCTCTTGTGAAGGTGTCAATCTGAAGCAATCACTCAGAGCGCAGATACACCCTGTCTCTGTAGCCTCTAGGTGGTAGTTATTTTTGACACAGACTTTTGCGAATAAAATTCATCACAAAAGCAAAATGGGCTTTGCTTAATGACAGATGAACTATAGGGTATCTCTATCTCAGAATTATCTATGGGTGGTTGGGAGGAGGAAGATCTGCTTGGAGCTTAGAACCAAATCTTCAAAGAGTTCATGCCACTCACCCAAGACTTTCATCTTGTGCCTTTTGGGCTCAGCTGTGCCCCTGGGACTCTTTATTTGAATACTTGTGATCACCAACATGACCTTCTTGTGCTCATGTTCTTTCCACCACAGTGCTCTGCTCTGTCCCTGTGGAAAGCCACGGGTGACCACGCATCTCTGCAAGGAGAAATACCTAGAAGCCACTTGGCCCCCAGCCAAGAAGCGGGTAGAGTGCCACGGGTTCCTCTCTTTTTCTGAGCCCTTCTACCCCCTCTCAGATCCTTTTCCTAGTGGCTCCTCGGAGCCTCTGGTCAGGCCCACCCTTCTAACCACCCCACAACTTTCCTTTTCTGAGAGTGTAACCTAAAATAAAGCCTCTAGCTATTTCTCAAATTTCCTTAAGTGAGAACTAAGTTGTCCCTCACTTTGTGTGAAGAATGTTTTCTAGCTTGGAGTGTTTAGGAGGGTCTAAACAGCTAAAACCTACCTAAGGGCAATTTGGTTTTAGGAGAGGGCCCAGGGGGAGGTGGGAGTCCGGCCTCTATTGGAGATGCCTTCCCAGAGCTCCCTCCCTCCAGCTTTAGTGTGATGGAAGCTTCCAGAAGAACGTGGCTGGCTTCGGGAACATCCCACTCCCCTGGGTGTCCCTGTCCTAGCCAATGTTTCCAGCTTGGCTGGTAAGATGTCTCCCACCACCTTCAGGATTCAAGCTCTCTTGGATTTAAAAGCAAAACACAGCAGTTGGGAGTGTGAATAGAGTTTTAGAAAGTCCTCTGTGCTCTGATATTGTTGCCAGAAGGTCCATTCACCTACCTCAAATCTTGCCAGATTTCAGGCAAGATGTGTGAGCGTACTGAGCAGTGTTTATGGAGAATGATCATGTTAAGTAAGAATAGAGCAACTCTCTCAGAGACGAAAGTGGGTCATCTCAGAATTTTCAGCATAGGTTTGAATGAAGCATAATGGGCTTGGGGCTTCAAGTCCCTCCCTAGGACCAGCCCACAGAGCGTGATTGACAGGAAGGATGTGAAAGAATTTCTGGTCTCAAACACTCTGCAGATATGATTTCCTCATGACCACCTAAGAAAGTCTCACCCACAGGGGGAGAAGAAACCCCATAATCGCCACTTGATTAAAATGACATGTTAGTGACCCAAAGGGTAACTTTGGATCACTCCAACTGATTTGGGCTGGAGCCTGGTCAGTGGGCCTTGATAACCCTTGTTCTCTTTTCTACAGCCGGATAAGATGATCTGTGTAACTTTGTGTAGTGGGTTGTTTTTTTGCCCTCATGAGGAATATGTCGCGAGGCATGAGGCAAGAAGTCCCTTATATTTCCTTGACTCGTGGCTTATAGTTGCCTTTATGTTTACCCCCATCTCCAGCTGAAGAACCCTTCATTTTAGGTTCTTGTTGCAAATTTCCATCACTCTAATTAACTACCAATCAATAAAGGACGCTTGTGGTTTATTTAGCCAGCAGTCATAATCTGCTCACAAGAACACTGTAGCTTGGAAATTCTGGAAAAACATGGCTTCCTCCATGAGGGGAGGGGCTTCCAGATATAAACTCACCAGCCCTCTGAGAAGAGCAAACGACACAGGATTGTGATGGCCATCATGGTATTCACCATCACCATCATGGTCATTTGGCACCTCTCTTGTCTTACAACTATGTTCACAACCTGAAGGTCTACATTTCACTTCAACTGGTCCCCATCCAGGGACCCTGAGTATCTCCCCTCCTCCCAGATATAGTGTTATCTGGTGTTCCTCAAAAGGAAAGCTTTCCCCTTTAGGAAGTAAGAATGCTAAGAAAGGCCAGGCACTGGTGGCTCACGCCTGTCATCCTAGCTACTCAGGAGGCTGAGATCTGAGGATCATGGTTCAAAGCCAGCCCTGGCAGGAAAGTCCATGAGACTCTTATCTCCAATAAATCACTAGAAAACTGGAAGTGGCACTGATGGCTCAAGCTGTAGACTGCTCGCCTTGAGCTGAAGAGCACAAGGACAGCGCCCAAGTCCACAGTTCAAGTCCCACAACCGACAAGACAAAAAAAAAAAAAAAAAAAGAAGGCCTCATCTCAGGGAGAAGAGAAGAGCATCAACTTGGGGCCTGGCTTCCAGAGATTTCCATTGCTAACCCTTTTGTTTTTGTGTGTGGGTATTTGTTTGTTTGAGACTGGGTACTTACTGTCTCTGAACTTTTGTGTTCAAAGCATGCATTCTGCCACTTGAGCCGCAGCTCTACTTCTAGCTTTTGGTAAGAGGTAAAGGTGTTCTTGTTCCTGGCCTGCCCTCTGACATCCCTAACCACCTTCTCTTTCTTTCAGGAGGTCACATCAACCCAGCTGTGTCTTTGGCAATGTGTGTCTTTGGAAGGATGAGATGGTACAAACTGCCATTTTATGTGGGAGCCCAGTTTTTGGGAGCCTTTGTGGGATCCGCAACTATCTTCGGTGTTTACTATGGTGAGCAGGACCCTGACCCCAAAGTGATGGGGAGCTGGGTGTTAAAATCGAAAGCCAGAGTCCCTTGGTAGGAAGAAGTGAAGTAAATCAAGGACAGGGAGCATTCTATAATCAATAGGAAACTCTTAAGTAATTAGTCTAACATTAGGTGAGCAAATTTATGAAGACTCTGCCAGGTACTGGTAGCTCACTTCTGTAATCCTAGCTACTCAGGAGGCTGAGAGCTAAGGACCACAGTTTGAAGTCAGCCTGGTTAGGACAGTCTGAGACACTTATCTCAGCTGAAAAGGCATGCCAAGCAAACGTGAGGCCCTGAGTTCAAATCCAGCTGCTAGCAGAAAAGAAAAAGGAAGTGGTAATGGGGTCGGAGGAGCATAAGGAAGCCTATCTTTAGACATAACCTACACTACACTGTGAACACAAACCAAACAAGCAATTGGCCAATGTCTTCTCTGATCCTCTCTGTGATTAGCTGGGAAAGGAGGTATTGCCTAGTGGCAAAGAAGATGCCCAGTGAGCATTTAGAACTTGGGACAAGGTCTTTGAAGGAAGTAGCATGTAGAGAAAGGAGAAGCCTTGTTCACCTCTACCCAGCACCGAGGGCTTCCAATCTGCAGAAGTCTTCAGTGAAACATGGTACATAGTACATGTGATCAAAGACTCTAACTTGAGTTCTGGCTGTATCAGTCAGGAGCTGTGTGATTTAAATAAGTCATCTGACCTGAAAGAAGACAGTTTCCTCTTCTGAAAAAGGAAGGACTTGAACCAGCTGACCTCCAACTGAGGCTCTCCAAACTAAGAAGTCTTGGGGTTGCATGAAATCAGTCTTAATGCATGACAACTGTTCAACTGAAGACCTCAGAATCTGGAACTGGGAATAGGCTGTGGGAAGAGACAGCTCACAGAGTATTTCTTTGAGAATTAAAATCTAAGAGAATGAAGGGGAATTCAAGGAAAGATCAGAAATTCAGAAAGTCAGCTGTAGTTTGTGGCTAATCTCATTGGCTGTGAGGGTCCTAATAGCCATTCCCCAGATACTCTTAAATGCTGGCATATAGCTAGTAAGAACCCCTGGGAACTATGAATTTTTTCTACAGCAAATCAATGCCTCCTACTTTGGCTCTAGAATGATTTCGAAATTTTCTTCTCCCCCTTCTGCCCCCCCATCCAAGACCAGGACTCAGACTTGGTACCTGATTCTTTTGCTATTGGCTAGCACTTAACCAATTGAACCATGCCTCCAACAACTAGGGTGGATTCATTTTCTTTCTTTTCTTTTTTTTTTGAAAATTCTAAATTCCATAAAGTGATTGATTCTTGAGACTCTACTGCTTAAGGATTCAGTCCAGGTTTGGGGCAGCCAAAGCCTTCCAACTCTGAATCACTATTGTGGGATTTCCGAGGGCATCTCAAACTATTGTACTCCAGAGTCAAGGAGAGAAGTTGTGCTTAGCCTAAGTCCTGGCTTAGGCTTCCCTCGACTTTCCTCAGACAACCCTAATAGACCAGATTTCTGTCTTCCACAGATGGACTCATGTCCTTTGCTGGAGGAAAACTGATCATCACGGGAGAAAACGCAACAGCATTCATTTTTGCAACCTACCCAGCTCCGTATCTCTCTTTGGCGAATGCATTTGCAGACCAAGTAAGTGCAGACTCAATAAAGGCCTGACTTGGTCTTTGACATGACTTTGAAGAAGGGAAATGTATTGGACCATTATTGCCCTAGCAGAAAGAAAGGGTTATGTTTCCAGCCAGAGGTCACTGGGGTATATATAACCTACTCTTTTCGGAACAGTGTTTTGTCTCTGCAGGACTCTATCACTAGAATTTTTGGCTTCTTCTTTAATATGCAGAGGCAACAGTTATTTATTTCCCTCACTATTGTTGTCCCTTTCATGCATGTGTAGGCTACAAGCGAAGAAATTTCTATTTCAATGCAAAGACTGAAGTACGGTAGGTGGAGCCTGAGATGTTATGGATCATAGCTGCTTTCTATGAGCCTAGGTTCAGCCAAACTCTCAAGACAGCTAGACAGTTTCTCTGCTTTAATGACGTGTAAACTAGCTGCAGGCACCTCAGCATTAGTGATGTAGCCAAATAGCACAACTATTCTGGTTAGTGTGTGGTGAGATCAACATGGCCAGGGGGACTCTTCCTCCCTCCTTGTGTCCTGAGAAGGTGACTGGTCATCTCTGTCAGGCTGGAGAGAGGGAAGAAAGGCAGGAAAAGGAAGATGGAAGGAAAGGAAAGAGGAAGACATGTAGGGAAGAAGGAAGGAGAGAGGGAGGGAGGGAAGGAAGGAGGGAGGGAGGAAAAAAGGAAGGAAGGAAGGAAGGAAGGAAGGAAGAGGAGGAAGGAAGGAGGGGAGGGAGGGAAGGAAGAAGGTAGAAGGGAAGGAAAGAAAGAATAAAAGGAAAAAAGAGTGAAGCTGGTAGAGAGAAAGAGAGGAAGGGAGGGCAAGAAGAAGAGAAAGAAGGAAAAAAGGAAGGGAGAGAAAAGGGGAAGGAGAGAGGGAAAAGGACAACAGTTTACTGACATGATTATATTTCTGGGCTACTCAATTTCCAGATCATTTATTGTGTCTGCTCTAAATATTATTCAGACTTATTTAATAAGTTAATAGTCCATCATCTATGTAGCCAAGAAATATTTACTGGGGAGCTCCGAAGGCAGATACAGCTCCCAAGCTTTCTTTCCAGGGTCAGATGTTTGTAAACAGATAGTTCCTTTGCTAGGTGATAAGGCCAAGGACAGAAATCGAGATGGAATGCAATGGGAATGCAGAGACGTTTCTACCCTGCCAAAGACAGCCAGAAAGACTCTGCAGAGAAGGATGCTCTTGGGAAGAGATGTCCTTCTGAATACAAATTCTTTTAATACTATATTGGAAAGCTGATGAAATAGCAAAAAAAAAAAAAAAAAAAAGATTAAACCCTAAAATCAACTCCCTAGTTCCTGTTCTGACTCCAGCTTATGAGCTAGGCAGCTGGGTAGTTATTGATCAAGTTTCTTGACCTCTATGTACATTTCCTCATTGATAAACTGACGGAATTTACCTCATAGTGTTACTATGAAATTTTAATGAGATACAGCGTATGCATGCTTGTGGGTGAAGGGTACAAGATGTCTATTTAGTGCATTTGAAACATCCTAAATAATAGCCACTAGTGGGTATGGGTGGCTTCGATCTATAATCCCAGTTACTCAGGAAACTAAGATCTGGAACACTGCAAGTTCCAAGCCAGAGTTGGTGGGGAAAAAAATTGCAAGATTCCACCTCCAAAATAACCAGTCAAGCAAAAAGCCAGGCTGGAGACATGGTTCAAGTGGTAGAACACCATCTGTGAACAAGCAAGCTTAGAGAGTGTGGAGAAGCCTTTGAGTTCAAGCCCTAGAACTGGAAAAAAGTCAGTCAGAGTAGCTATCATTTAGCTATTTAGGTAAAATAATAGTTTTAAAAGCCAAGAAAACATGGGGGGGGGGAAATATCAGCTATAACATACTACTTCAGAATACCTGTTACCATTTTGTATAATCTCTTACAGTTTTTCTTTTATGTGTTTGAAAATATCAGAACAATATACATAACAACTCTTGTTCTTTCATTTAGTGTCATCCAATGGGACACTGCTCTTACCAAATATGTATTTAGGAGATTTTCCAGTTTTCAGTACTACAAATAACATATAAGTGAGCACGCTGATTTTATCAATGTCCAGTTTCCCAAAGAGCCAGCAGTATCAAAGTATTTGCGAGGCCTGTGTTTTAAATGCATAGGGCTAAATCACAGGAAAGCCCTTTCAAAAGTGTAGTATGTGTTTGGTTCTACTATAAGCCCTGAACTAGCCGGTCTTCTCAGACACTTGTTTCCATTTCTCTCATTACACGTTGGATTTTTTCTTTCCCCTTGTTTGCTACTCTGACTTTTTTCTTAGGAATTTTCTGCCCATTTTCTTTTTTTTTCTCCTAGCCTGAAGCTCACTTTTCCAGGCAGCATGGCAGGATAGTATAATAATAGTTCAACTAACAGTCTCTAGAGATGAATGCCCTGGGCCCGTGGCTATTGCCATTTAGTAAGTACATGGCCCATTACTGACCCGTGAAGGACAATTTTAGCCCTGACTCCTAGGACTGCTGAACAAAGAGCTGCATGCTCGTTCAGTATATGTTGCTGAGTTCCAGGTTTCCTTTTTGAAAAGGAAAGGTAGATTTTGCAGTGGGCAGATAGGCAGAACACAGACTCAGCTAACACCTGTCTTCTTCTTCCTCTCTAGGTATTGTCCACCATGTTCCTCCTCATGGTTGTCTTTGCCATATTCGACTCCAGAAACTTGGGTGTCCCCAGAGGCCTGGAGCCCGTCGTCGTCGGCCTCCTGATTATTGCCCTGTCCTCTTCTCTGGGGCTCAACTGTGGCTGTGCCATGAACCCCGCTCGTGACCTGAGCCCCAGGCTTTTCACTGCTTTGGCAGGGTGGGGGTTTGAGGTGTTCACGTAAGTACTGGCGAGGGTGAGCGTGGGAGGAGGGGTTCATGCTGCCCCTCAGTGGGGGTGGGAGGGCGCAGTGATTGGAGATCTGGGAGGGAACATTAAAAGAGCAGAGCTTGATACACAGTGGTCATGAGTGTGGAACACTCCGCTGGTGTTTTCTGGCACAATGTGGGTATATATGTGAAGAGAGGGAATGAGAGGAAGGGAGAGAGAGGGAGAGGAGGAAGAGAAGGAGCGAGAGGGAAGGCGGAGAAAGGCTCTAGGTAAATTCAGTAGTGGTAGGTTTGTCTCCTGTAATAATCCCTAAATTGGTCTATGGCTTTATGTGCACATTCTTGTTGTATTACTTGCCTGCTTTGTGTTGAAGTCAGAACCAAAATTTACATCTTTATTGGGTACTATCTGTTCTGTAGTGACTGTACTAAGCAAGGGAGTTTCAAAGACACTAGCCTTGAGCAATGTAAGAAGTTCTCTTTCAACCTTAAAAGTGCCGAAGGAATTGGCAGAACGGACTGACTAACTCTGCCAGGAAGGTTGGGAAAGACTGGTCTGAAGAAGTGAGAGCCGAGTTGGGTGTTGAGGTGTGAGTAGGAAATTCCTGATGGAACAGTCAGAAACACAGAGCCTGCTCCCGGGATGTGACAAGACCCGGCACTGTCTGCTTCAGAATGCAGTGGCTGTTGGCACCAAGCTCTGAGGACAAACTGTCCCATGACTCCCTCCTACTTTCTCTTCAGAAACCACAGGGCCCCATCCCCATTCCTGCATGTCCCCTCTGCTATGGGCAAGGGCAAGGAACTCACATTGCTTCATCAAGAAACCAGGGATGAGGGCTGGGAAGGTGGCTCAGTGGTAGAGCACTTGCCTTGCGTGCCTGAGGCCCTGGGTTCGATTCCTCGGCACCACATAAGCAAAAAGGAAAAAGCCAGAAGTGGCGCTGTTCAAGCAGTAGAGCGCTGGCCTCGAGCTGAAGAGCTGAGGGACAGCACCCAGGCCCAGGGTTCAGGCCCTATGACCGACCAAAAAAGCAAGCAAGCAGGCAAGCAAGAAAGAAAAGGAAGTAGGTAAAAACATGTGAGCAAATCTTGGTAGCCTGCTGTGAAAAGAAAGGACTTGTGTTTCGAATATCTGACCTATAGTCATGTAGCATCTGTAATTAGATGCTGGCCAGATAGTCAGATTACATCATGACTTTATTTAAATATGGTGGTGGTGGGGGCAGTATGAGGAAGAAACTGTTACAATAACTGGCACTGTTAAGACCACCACCACAGACACTGAGAGTTTCTAGAGTCTTAAGTGCCAAGAGGACCTTGAAAGACTAAGTACCAGCATTTCCCTTGCTGTAACCACTGTGCTTACAGCAGAGCATGACCCATGCGTGGAAAGGCTCAATGAAACACTATTAAATAGAGGAATGAATAGATGCTATGTGCCAGGCATCTTTTTGGAGTTGAAGGACACGGAGACAGGTTCCTTTATCCTCGATCTGCTGCATTTGGAGTTTCTAGAGCAGTAGTTTTTCAATTAAAGGTGGACAATTTTGTCCCAAGGATATGTGGCAAATCTGGGCACAAGGGATTGACTGCTGCTGACATCTAGTGGTCGGAGGCCAGAGAAAGCCGCTAAGTATCCTCTGATACTCAAGATGAATCCCACAACAAGGAACAAATGATAAGCCCATGGTGGTTAACAGAGCTGTGGTCAAGTAACTGTGTCCTCCAATGGTCACAAGTAGAGTACGCCAAGGCCCCAATTAGGAAGGCTTCTTGAGCTGCTGGTCCTCATTCGCATCAGTGCTTTCCTCCCTTTGCATGCTCACTTACTCATTCACGTGGCCATTCAAAAGGCCGTGTGCCGGCCACCAGGCCAGCTGCTGCCCTTCAGCTACTGACATTTGAGCTGAGACTTGGCAAATGCCAAGGAGATGAGAAGAGGTTGATAGCTGCAAATCTGGAAGGTAGGAGGTGTGAGAGAGGAGCATTTTGTAGTGTTGAGGCATGCTGGAATGAGGAACATGCCGAGAAGCTTCTGTGTTCTGTAAAATTAGCAAGTGATGCAGTATAGTCAGAAAGTACAATCATCCCAGCAAACATAATGTGAGCCCCACAGCGAGAGCAGTGTGGACTTCTTCTCTCTCTATTCTGTAGATTATGGGGGGGGGGTCGGCAATGGGCTGGGGCAGAGCTTGGGGTACTTGGCAAAATTAACCTGGCATTACCATATAAGCGATGAAATTGAAAAAGGAGAAAATAGAGTTGTTGAGTCCTGTTAGGAAAGAAATATTAAGATGTTTCCCGCCAAATGCTGGTGCTATGCCTGTAATTCCAGCTACTCAAAAAGAGGCTGAGATCTGAGGATTGAAGTTCAAAGCCAGCTGGGGTGGGAAATTCCCTTGAGACTCATCTCCAATTGATCCACAGAAAAAGCTGGAAGTGGCACTGTGGCTCAAGTGGTAGAACTTTAGCCTTGAGCAAAAGGAGCTCAGGGACAGCACTCAGGCGCTGGATTCAAGCGCCAGGACCAGCGCCGAACACCCACCCCCCCAAAAAAAAAAACAAAAAAAACCCCCACCAGTTTCCTATCAAAGTTCTCACCAGTATTTCTAGGTAGGATGCCAATGACTTAGTAAGTAAAGAAACTTTGGAGTATTATTAAATTAAAAAAGATAGTTTGTCCTGAGTAAAGCATCTTTAAAGATGGTCTTTCAGGTAGTTAACACAGATGTGTTAGTGACAGCCCCTAACTTGTAGTAGAAGCAACCAGTACCCCGTGTGTATCGGAGATAGGTCCGGGCAGGTGATGCATCTAAACACCTCCATGGTCAATGGGGAACAGGCAGGTGGAGCTCAGCACCCTTTCTCTCCCATGCAGTGAGAGTGACATCTGGTGGCGGCTGTGCTCAGCCCACGCTGGTAACTGAAAACACAGGAGAGCAATTCAGTGGTTCCAGGTGGAAGGATTACACAAATGGCTCAAAGAGCTCAGAGAGCGAGTGCCTTGGCCAAAAAAAGCCACACAGAACAATTGTGAAAAGAACAGGCGATGAGACTCCCAGCTGAGCACAGTGAAATCTTCGCGTGCACCTGCTGCACCGTTCCGTATCACCCTCACTTTGTGTTGTTTTCTCCTAGGTTTTAAAATGGGTTTCTCGTATATGTATATCCTCCAGCCATAGGGTGTTTGTTTTATTTGTTTAGAAGCTTGTAAAAACCGGCCATTTTCCATGGGATTGTCTAAATGGATTTCCTTTCTCTGAAAGTGCTGATGACAATTCACCAGCCACCTGCTCCCTCTCTCTTAACTCCACCTTCAGCAGAAGGTCCCAGTTGAGGATTTCTAGAAGGAAGAGAGTCTCATCACGGAACATTGACTTTGGGTTATGACCTAAAAAAAATAAGCACTAAATTTAACCTATGTTTAGTAGATAACTCATAAATCTACCTTTGATTTAATATTGGTACTGGATTTGAATTCAAGGCCTCTCTACCACTTGATCCACGTTCCCAGCCCTTTTTATTGGGGGGTGGGGGAGGTGCTGTTCTTAAGCCTTAGAATTTTTGTCCAGGGTCATCCTGAGACCATATACTTCTTTCTTTGCCTCCCATGGAGTGGGATGATAGGCGCACGCCACCATATCCATCTTATTTGTGGAGACGGGGACTGGCTTAACTTTTTTGCCTAGGCTGGACTTGGACTATGATCCGCTCAGTCTCTACCTTCCAAGTATGTGGAATTACTGGCCTGAGCTACCAGTCCAGGGTGATTGTTTCTGTGCTATACTGAGGGACCTCACACCACTGAGCTCTGAACAGGAGACATCTCAGCTAGTGAGTGAATGATCTGACAGGAAATAGCAAAAGGGAGGCCAACAAGTGTCTCACGGATTTCTTCTCTGGATTTCAGAGTTGGAAATAACTTCTGGTGGATCCCAGTCGTGGGTCCTCTGGTGGGTGGCATCCTTGGAGGTTTCATCTACGTCCTGTTCATCGAAATCCACCATCCCAATGCCCACCCAGACTTCGAGGAAGAACAATCTGAGAACAACAAGCCAGAGAAATATGAACTGAGTGTCATCATGTAGTACAGGGCTTGCTGCGGGATTTACACTCTGGTACTCAGCAGGAAAGATGGTGTCTATGTGTCTTGTGTTTCTGTGAGACGGGGAATGTACCCTATTTCCTGCGTGCGGAACACTGAGTAAAGAAGACACCTGTGTGAAGGTTTAGAAACACTGACTTCCTCTCTACCAGCCACTTCCCTTCCTCGGAATAGCACTGACTGTACCTTACACAGCTTTCTCTCCTGCCTTGTTAGACAATGCCTGGTGAGACTTCTTATTTATAGGTGATTGCTAATACAATACTCTGATCATGGCCTTACTTTGTCTTCGCTGTACTAACTATATGAAATAATGTCACAAAAAAAAAAAACCCTTTACCTTCAATGTCTTCAAATGTTACATTCTGAATATAAATCCAAACTGAAAACAAAAGACAAACCATTATTTCAGTTAACATCCACGAATTAGGGAGCTAAAGGATTAACTCTCTAGCTAAGCTGTGCTATTGTCTTTGCATAAGTACTGATATTCTCCACACAAAGGAGATCTAGACAGTGATGGAAGGCCACTGAAAGCCCGGGGAAAGGACACTGTAGCGCTGAGAAACCTCAGAACACAAGATAAATTTGGGTAGCCAAATAGAAATTTTTTTTAATGGAAACCACTTATCAGATTAATCTCTTGCTCTTCTGCATGTTAGGGGAGGAGCATCAGTTAATTTCCTGGTCTTTAGTATATATAATAACCTAAAAAAGAATCCTAACCTACCTTAGGAAAAGTACATCACTCTGACTTTTAGCTCAAATGTGTTTTCCTAACTGCACACTCGAGGATGGGCATTTGACAAGTAAAATGAATGAATACTCTCATCCATTATTTTACTTGTGCCCCAGAAACCCAAACTGAAAGCCAACGGATGCTGCTCCACCAGACTATTCAAGGTGCAAAAAGCCTGTGCAAAGCTAACATCACCTCATTGTGTTTCTACAGCACACAAAACACTTTCATACGCATTATCTAACTTCGTGCTAATTAGACTATTTGAGGTGAATACTGAGATGATCGTTGTTCTGATAAACAATGGCTAAGGCAAGTTCCTTGAGTTGTCCGATAGTTTGTGGGCAGTAGACTAATGTCTAATACCATCTCTCCACCTTTAAGAAGGTCAGTAACTGGCTGAGTGTGGTGGTCCACACCTGTAATCCCAGCACTTGGGATGCTGAGACAGGAAGATAAGAGAGCTCAAAGGAAGCCTGGGCTACATAGAGAGACTTGTTACACACACACACACACACACACACACACACACACACACACACACACACACGAGGGAAAGGAGGAAGAGGAGAACTTGAAGGAGAAGGATCAATAACTGATTGAAAATATTTGCTAACACTTTCTCTCCTTCCTGGCTGACCTAAAGAAGAAAGCTTCTAGAATATTCATGCTTTATGGACCTAATGATATAGTTTTTATTCCCACAGAAGAAAAGAAATAGTTTCATCACAGCTTTCCTCTGCTAAAAGCCTCCGTTCCTGACACCCTTGGGCCTTGCTAAGTCTCAATCCTCCTTTCCTGACAACCTCAAACATTACATCAGGGACCTTCTTCCTCAGCCTCCTCCCTGTGAAGTTCTCTAACTGAGGTCACATTTGGCCACAGAGACTCTGAGTTACCAGCTCACATCAAACTCTATGCTTCCGTTCCAGTGCTGAAATCCCAGCATTCCCAGAATGACCCAGGTGCCCAACTGCTTTGTGGTAACAGACTAACGAAAACCAAAGGGCAAATGTCTCCCACGCTTCCGTTTTAGAACTCATGGATGTATGGAAGTTTTTTCTTGTTCTGATGCTACCTGGATATTCTCTATTTGAAATAAAATTTGGAAATTGTTGTTGGGATTTTTTTTTCTGGTGTATGGAGTTTTTTGGTGTGTATACGCATGTATATGCATGTAAATATATATATGTATATATATATTTGTTAGCCTTCTGTTGTTTGACTTAAAAGATAGGTGTAGGAGCTGGGTATGCCCACAATCTGAACACCTGCAAGCCTGAGGTAGGAGTATCATAAGTTTAAGGTTACCCTAGGCTCCATAGCAGCATTATGCCTCCAACCTCTTCCCCCCACCCCCCAAAAAAAACATACAAAAAAAGAAACTAAAATGGTAATTATAGAGCACTATTGATGAGGTCATAATATATAAATATGTAAATAAATACAGTAAGTAAAATGTGAGTGCTCTCTCCCCAGCAGTGTAGCAACTGGCCACAGTCAGACAGATGGACACATGACACTATAAACAGGTCATAAAAGCCATTTTGAGGTATATGTGTATGTACATATACATTTATATTTGGAACAAGACCAAAAGCAATGCTCATTTATGCATATTAAAGTACACAAATGCAATACATTGGGGTGGGGGTGTTACCAGTCCTGGGCCTTAACAAACTCAGCCTGGGAGCTGTCCCTGAGCTTTTGTGCTCAAAGCTAGCATTCTACCATCCGAACCACTAGCTCCACTTCTGGCTTTTTTTGGTTGTTCATTGCAGATAAGAATATTACTGACTTTTCTGCCTAGGCTGGCTTTGAACCTCGATCCTCAGATTTCAGCCTCCTGAGTAGCTAGAATTATAGATGTGAGCCACTGGCACCTGGCTTATATGGCTTTTGATTGACATCTAAGAGACTGTGCCTCTGTGCACCTCCAGAAGCTGTCCTGAGTACCATTCCCTGGGGCCACTGAAGTGACTGCTCTGGGGAACTCATTGCCATCTCTATTCTTAGGTCTATTCTAGGCCTCAGCTGACATTCTGCATGCTCACAGAGCCAGTGAGCAGCTCAGTGTCACTCAATTATGGCAAGCTCGGAGCTAGACACCCCTGAAGTTTCTCACTGGCTTTGCAATAAGGTCATCTCTCCAAAGCTCTGAAGAAGGGCTCACCGGGATTTAATTCTGAACTAATGGAGGGGGAGGAAAAAACGGATTGGACAAAGGTCCAGGAATCTTAGCGGCTTCCTTGGAGAACATCTTAGCACACACCTCTCTTGGCTGTCTGCTGGGTGGAGCTAGGAACCTCCACTTGCACTTATTACCAGACTCGGCTCAGAGCTTGGGTCTGGCCCTGCCTCCCACAGCAGAAGGGCCTGAGCACGCCTGCGTTTCCTACTGTGTCCACCTGAGGCGAATCTAAGACCAGGTTCCGGGTCCTTCCTGCTGTGCTGCTCTCTTTTCCCTTGCTGATACCCTGGGTCTCACGACTAGGCTTCTCTCCTGCTTCTCCAAGTCACGCTCCTCATTCCAGATCCCTTCACTTCTCCATGGCGTGGGGTGCCCTACCCCATCTTGGCAGAGCACCATCTGGTATGCCCCAGTCCTGAGGGTGACATCTGTAATGGGCGACTGAATGCAACAAATACAAGTTGTAGCTGCAGTAGGCTCGTCTGATACAATGTAGCTCCAAATGGGCTGGACCAGGCGGAACATTTGAGGATCCTAAAGTGTGTGAGTTGGGCCTGGGGAGGAGGGATAGGGGTGGGGATGCATTGTAATGTTTGTGTGTGAATGCTAGTCTCAAGGCTCGTGCTCTACCAGTGGAGTCACACAACTCCACTTCCAGTGCTTTGAAGATGAGGGTCTTATGGACTTTCCTGCCTAGGCTGGTTTCAAACCTCAATCCTCACATCTCAGCCTCCTGAATAGCTAGGATTACAGGCGTAAGACACCTACCTACATCTGGCCACATTTTAATGTTTTGGACCAGAAGAACCAAAAGAAAATGGCTGGACATAGTCCAGGGCAGATGGTTAGTGTGAACAGATGGGAGACAGAAAGCAACTGCTTTTATTTTTGCTTCTTTCTTCAACATAGAGCCCTAAGAATAGGGATAGGCATGTCTTAGTCCATTTTCCAGAAAAGCAAAAAGAAGGAGGTCAGTTTTAAAGACTGTACATAAATGACTTCTCATTATAACAGTACAGTGACATCAATTATAGAGCCTGGCATATATTGACTATTATTTGCCATGCATGGTGCTAATTTGTTTTCCATACATTGTCTTGTGATGGCCACAGCAAACCCATGTTTGAGGTTATTCTCTGCAGGAGGAGCTAGCTCCTTGAAGTTCAGAGTAGTTCCTATAGCCAACATAACCTTATGTTTAAAACTCACATTCCTACCAGGTGTCAGTGGCTCATACTTGTAATCCTAGCTATTCACGAGGCTAAGATCTGAGAATCATGGTTCAAAGCCAGCCAGGGCAGGAAAATCTTGAGACTCTTAACTCCAATAAACCATCAAAAGAGCTGAAGTGGAGCTGTGGCTCAAGTGGTAGGATGGTAGAGTGCTAGCCTTGAGCACAAAAGCTCAGGGACGGCACCCAGGCACCCTGAATTCCAGCCTCAGGAACAGCACAAAAGCAACAACAACAACAAATCTCTGATGCTTACAATCAGCACAGCTGAGATATTATGCTGACTTAGATTGATTATGATTGTTTCCATAATGTCAAGAAGTGGGTTTTTTTTTCCCCCAATCTTCTCAAGAATAGTAAGGAGTTTGAGTAATGGTGAGTTGGGATGTCTGTGAGGAATGACACGGTATTAATGACACAAGGACACAGTGAAGCCCAGGGATTTGAGGTGGGCAACACTGTTGTACTATGTCATATTGACTTCCAGTTCTCTGTCAATTCAATCAACTATTAAACACTAAGGTTCTTAGTTACTCTTCACTTGGGGAAAAGAGTCTCTCTTCTTTAGGTATGACACAATATATGATTTATGACAATGAACTGGGCTGTGTGCTCACAGCCTCTGTTTCTCACATATTCAATATGGCAGTGGTGCTATATTCTAAAGACGATCAACCTGCCTTCCCCCTCCCCCCAAAAAAGGAAAACAAACACTTGGCCCAGTGCAGTTCCTACAGATAAAGGATCTTCGGGGCATGATACTCAGGACCTTCTGGGACAAGAGGCCTAATTCCAGCTCTGTAGGTCACTGCGGATACAAAACACGTACATTTTCCTAGTGACAAGATCTTGATATCTTCCAGCATTTGGGATGACCAGTTGACCCTGATGCTTATAGGAGGAACCCTAATGAGGCAGAAAATGTCACTGGAAAATCATAGTGATTTTTCAAGAGCTTCCATCTCTACCTAGACGGAGTAAAGAAAAACAACACCTACTTCACAGGATGTTTTGTCCAAAAACTGCTGGGTGAATAAGTGAATCACAGAGCTAATTAACTTGCTGAATAGATGAGTCACACCCGAGCTGTAAGCACTGGGAACCCGAGATGCTGAACTCAGGTACAAGGTGGATCTATGGGCAAGGTACCAAGGAAATCACAGCACCAGCTAGAAGGCAGAAGAGCAGCTGCCACAACCA